AAGACAATTTCTACTCTCCGAGTTTACATTTTAATGAGAAAAGACAACATATAAAGGGGAACTGGAAAGCAGGGGAATAAGTGGGGTGGGGTTAAGGATGCCCACTTAGGGATATGACTGGATATCCAGATAAGGAGGTGGAGAAGTCTCAAGAGTTAGGAGCAGAGCTGGCAGTGAAAGTCTGGGCGGTGTTAGTCGAGCCGGATCAGTGACAGATCAGTCAGCAGAGAAGGCTGAAGAGCAGGGTGAGAAGGCTGCTGGTAGAAAAGTAGAGAATGTGAAAGGTGAAGCCAGAAGTGATCAGTCTCTGACACTAGCTTGAAGACTGTCTACTAAAATATGCAAAGGTTTCAGTCTTTCTCAGTAGATGGAGTGCCCCCCCCCCCCCCCCCGTGTCAATGAAATCCTATCAAGTACTGAAGAAATTCTCAGTGAACCCACATTGGCTCCTAGTGATCAACACTTTTCTATCAAAAAATCATTTGTTTAATCAGCTCTTTTATAATTTTGCCTAGGACTCAAACTCAGTAGTATGTAGTAGTTTGGGGAATGGGTAGGGGAGAAAAAGAGAGAGAGAGTGAAAGAAAGAACGAGAATTGGAGCATTTGACCATCTCTGACTTTCTGGCCCTTCTCCAGTTTTGTGTGTTTCCTTAAAGATTACTGAAAGTGATGGTTCTTTGGTCCCTTGAATCCCCTGGGATGGAAGTCATCTGCCCTAGAGACTTCAATTAAGGCTATCTCCTTACCTACCTTGGGCTTCAGTTCCCTCTTGAACACATCGGTCCTATACCTTCCAGTCTGAAGAGCCTTCTCCTTGATAAAGAAGCAGGAACTTCAGAGCCAAGCAGCTGTGCTCTCTCCCTCTTACGCCATTTGCCTCGAGCATTGGGCCCATCCCTCCCTCCCTCTTCCATCCTATAAAAGCCCAATTTGTTGTACTTAACATTTTCTGCCAGCCCCAAAGCAGGCCTTCAAATATCCTTCCCTTTTCATCTATTTATATTTTCTCCAATTGTTTGACGTTTCTCGTCCTGTCTCTAACTAGATTGTGAACTCCTGAAGACAGGGAACATTTTATTTATGTGTGTGTATATATGTGTATGTTTTTAAACATATATTTATATATTAAATTACATTTATATTTATATCATATATAAATATATTCTAATATATTTACCTTAATTTATAATCAGTATGTTTAATATGTTATGTAATAATGTCATAAAAGGCAGGTAGGGGACTCGATGGATCGAGCACCAGGCCTAAAGTTAGGAAGACCTGAGTTCAAATTAGGCCTCAGACACTTACTAGCTGTGTGATCCTGAACAAGTTACTAAATCCTGTTTACCTCAGTTTCCTCATCTATGAAATGAGCTGGAGAAGGAAATTGCAAACCACTCCAGTTTCGCCAGGAAAGCCCCAACTGAGGTCATGAAGGATCAAACACAACAGAAATGACTGAACAACAGTTCAGTGAATAAATTATGTTTAATATATTGTTATATCATATAATATATTAATTAATATATCGTAAAGTATAATTTAACAAATTCAACTATTAAATATATTTTTATATATTTAAATTATCTTCTTCTTTCTTCCTACCCCCCATTTTCTACTCCCCACACCCACTCCCCATGCTCCTATCTTCCTGTCCATTGGAAGCGCTTAGAAACTGAGCAATTGAGTCTCTGTGGAGAGATGGATGATAAAACAGTGTTGATAGCCTGTTGGACCAACACATCGAATTGGAAAATTCCTTAAAGAACATACTGTATCCATTTACATGGATTCCCTCACCGTATCTGTAAACTTTACATTCCTGTCCAGCAAATCCACCCTTTTGCTTTTTTCCGCAACACATGTCAGTGGAGCTGGAGCTGACACAAGCTCGGGGTGTGGTGGTGGGAGAAGGATGATGAAGTTCTGTGCGACCTCATCCTGGACCCTGAATTCTACACCCCTCCCTCCTCCTCCCCTCCTCCCCTCCAACCTTACCCTTTCCTTTGTTAAACGTACTGATTGATGCTTCAGCCAGTCTCTTCTAGGCTGTAGACTTTTCCTGGGCCATTTTATTTGGGAATGGCATAAAGAGAGAGAAGGAGCTTATATCTTGGGCCCCTGGGATTGGAGTCAAGAGTAGACTTGGTTCATCCCTTCCCATTTGGAGCTCATCCCGCTAGGTCCCTTGCTCAGCATTCCATTACTAGAGGCAGCCAGTTGGTGCAATGGATTGAGCACTGGGCCTGGAGTGAGGATGTTCAAATATGGCCTCTTGTTGTTCAGTTATTTTTTGGTTTGTTTTTATTTTTCCAGGCATGTCCTATTCTCTGTGACCCCATTTGGAGTTTTATTGGCAAAGATACTAGAATGGTTTGCCATTTCCTTCTCCAGCTCATTTTACAGATGAGGAAACTGAGGCAGACAGAGTTAAGTGACTTGCCCAAGGTCACATAGCTAATAAGTATCTGAGGCCAGATTTGAAGTCAGGAAGATGAGTCTTCCTGACTCCAAGCTCAGCATTCTATCCACTGTGCCACCTAGCTGCCCCCCAAAATAGCCTCAGACAAGTACTAACTGTGTGATCTTGGACAAGTCACTTAATGCGTCTACCTCAGTTTCCCCATCTGTAAAATGGAGATAATAATAGCAGCTACCTCCCAGGGGTGTTGTGAGAATCAAATGAGATAATAGTTGTAAGCCATTTAGCACAGTGTCCAGCACATAATAAGCACTGTATAAACGTGAGCTATTGTTATCAAAGAAAAATGAGAGAGTTGGACTAGATAATCTCTACGGTACTTTCAAACTCTAAATCCCATGATCCTCCTAAGCCTCTCTTTCCTCCTGACCCCGAAGTAAGGATCTCCTAAGCTGCCTCTCCCCTACATCCCCCTGATCTTATCTATACCTACTTCTGAACCTCCCCGAAAGGCAAACGGCAGGTTCTCCCTCCCAGACCCTTGCCCCAGTGATTAATGGTGTGACAGTTCACTGTAATAGAGTGCCTTCAAGTTGACAAAGGGCTCTTCGCATGATTGTGTGAGGTAACTGGTTCGAGGACCAAGACCGTTTTATAGATAAGGAAGCAAGTCTAGGAATGTTAACTGGTCTGTCCACAGTTATTCTAAGTGTCAGAGCTAGGGTCTGATCTTGGATCTGGAACAGGAAGGGGGAGGAACCTTAGAGGGTGTCGGTCCCAGCCCCCTTATTTTTCAGATGAGGAAACTGAGGCGTAGGAAGGTCAGATGATTTGTCCAAGGTCACCCGGGTGGTAAACTTTAGACAGGGGATTGGAAGGCCTTTATCATCTGACACCTGGGCCACTGCAGTATTGCCCGCTGGCTGGTCTGCCCATCATAGGTCTCTCTCCAGTCCAGTCCCTACTCCACTCAGCTAATAAAGCGATCCTCCCAACGTGCGCGTCTGACCAGTCACTTCTGTACTCAGTAGTAAACTCCACTGGTCCCGTGTCCCCTCCAGGATCAACTATAAAATCGGCTTTGGCATTCAAATCCCTTTATAACCTGAGCCCTTCCTCCTTTTTCTAGTCTTCTTAAACTGTACTTCCCCATCCCCAACAATACTCTGTGATCCAGTGATTCTGGTCTCCTCACAGTTCCTCCGGGTATTTTCACTGGCTGTCCCCTATGCCTGGAAGTCTCTCCTTCCTTTTCATCTCCCCCTTATGGCTTCCTTGGTGTCCTTCAAATCCAGGTAAAATCCCACCTTCTACAGGAAACCTTTCCTTATCCCTCTTAATTCTAATGCCTTCTCTCTATTGATTATCCCCAGTTTATCCTGCCTATATCTTTTGTTTTTTATGTGTCATCCTTTTTAGTTGTACTGTTATGGAAATGCTTGTTTTATTCCATAAATTGGCCTTTCCCCATATTTGTTGCCCCTCTTTGGATACTCTCTACTTTACCCATGCCCATTCCATACTTCAGACTGTGAGCTACTTGAGAGTGGCAACTGTCTTTTGCCTCCTTTCGTATTCCCAGAGCTTAGCATAGTGACTGGTACATACTAGGCATTTTAAAAATGTTGTTATTTATTCGTTTCAATTGGATCTGGTTCTTCTATAGCCCCATTTGGGGTTTCCTTGGCAAAGATGTTGGAGTAGTTTGTCATTTCCTTCTCCAGCTCATTTGACAGATGAGGAAACTGAGGCAAACAGAGTTAAGTGACTTGCCCAGGGTCACATAGCCAGGAAGTATCTGAGGCCACATTTGAACTCAGGTCTTCCTGACTCCAGGCCCAGTGCTCTATCCACTTTGCCACCTGGCTACCCACACTTAATAAATGTCACTTTATAAATGCTTAGCTTGTCTGTACGTCATAATTTGTAGTTTGTTTCCCCCCATTACCCTATGAGCTCTTTGAGAATAGAGACTATCTTTTGCCTTCTTTTTTATATCCCCACTCCTTAGCACGGTCTCTGACTCATAGTAGGTGCTTAATAAATGCTTATCTTGTCTGTACATGACTGCAAGTTGTCTCCTCCATTACACATGAGCTCCTTGAGAATAGGAACTGTCCTTTTCCTTTCTCTGACACATAGTAGGTACCTGACTGACTGGAGCCAAAACCTGGTTCCATAGCCAGTACTTTGTCCTGAATCATGCCGCCTCTTGACTTGGCAAATACTCTTTCTACCATGTGTGAAATTCTTCTTGTGTTGTGGAAATCTCATTGGCTTAGCACCTAGAAGTGAGTGGGAGTGGAGATGGCCCCTGATTCTTGGGTGATGATAGTAATCATAATAGTAAATAATAACACCACCTGGCTGGGTAATTCCCAGCCATCAATAAAGCCTGCTGTCCATAGAGGGAAATGATCAGGCTCTTTAGCAAAAGAATGCTTCTGGGTGTCAAGATCAAGAACCTTGCTTCGTGTAAGGCTCTCCGTCGGTCTGAGCCTGGGCTCCCCTCATGTCCCTGTCCTTTCTTGTCTGAATTCTCACCATCTGTTTCCTTCTGTCACTTCTCCCCCCAGGTAGTATCTGAGGCTGCTGGGCAGGGCGTGGCTATCACAGGGAACCAAACCTTCAATAACTGGAATTGGCCAAATGCTGTCATCTTCGCCGCCACGGTTATCACCACCATTGGTATGTCATTCTGTATGTCTGTGCTGACGCAGGCCTCCCTTGCCTCCCATATCCTTCTGTTCATTGGGGATTCTCCAGACATAGCCATTCCTCTCTATCCTGTCCCCTGAGCTCAGTCCTTAGCTTTCAGGAAGGACTACGCAAGGTCTGGCAGCTCTTAACCACCAGACAAAAAGGTTAGTCACAGTTTGTCCTTTTGATGCCCTCCTGTGGACCTTAAGAAAAGAACTTCTCCCATAGTGTGTGACACAATTCACCAGGAATTAGCGAGCCTTGGACTGGACACTTATTTGGGAGGCGGAGACACACACACACACACACACACACAAACACACACAAACACACACACAAACACACACACACCCATGATAAATCAGATGTGGGTAATTAAGCAAAATAAATAATTAACAACAGGTGTTGAGTTTAAATCTTAGCCAGAGGTTCTGATTGACAGAGCTGGACATGAGCTGTGTAAATCCAGGAAGGCTTGGGTGTGCCTGGAGTTATTGGGGAGGGAGGGAGGGAGGGAGAGGGCACACGTGTCACTCAGCTCGTGGCTGGAACTGATCAGGTCAAATCAGTTCATCTGTTCCTATCACATCCCCATTCCTCTCAACCTTTCTCTCACCTTCCCCCACTGAATTCTTTTATGGAAAGGAATTTTCTTTCTGTCTGACCCCTCTTGTTTCTCCTTCCAAAGGTTATGGAAATGTGACCCCCAAGACCCCTGCCGGGCGCCTCTTTTGCATTTTCTATGGCCTCTTTGGGGTTCCCCTCTGCTTGACCTGGATCAATGCCTTGGGGAAGTTCTTCGGGGGACGTGCTAAGAGATTGGGACAGTTCCTCACCAAGAGGGGCGTGAGCCTGGTATGTTTGCTCCTGTGGGACTCTCCCTGCAGGTCTAATGAGCCTAGTTTCTCTGCTGGGGCATGATTAGGGGCCTGGGCAGAGAGGCACCCCCTTTACCATTCCCTGCTTGGGCTATAGGGAGCAGGCCACACCTACCTCCTCATTTTTAGAACAGTGGAAAGAGATGGGTTGTTATAGGATCATAGAAGGTTAGAGCTTGAAGGTCCTTAAAGATAGTCTGGTGAAATCCCTTCATTTAACAAATGAGGGAACTGAGACCCAAGGTGATGAAATTCCTTTCCCTGGGAGACCTTGGATTTGAACCCAGGTCTTCTGACTCTAGAGTTAGAACTCTACAATCCATGTTGTGAGTGGTTGGTGTGAAGGGGTAGGAAGGATCCAGAGATCTATTCTGGAGGAAAGGAAGGTAAAGAAGAAGGTCACCTCACCCACATTATGTATCAAGGCTGAGAACAGAAATACAGCACAAGACTGAATGTCCAGAGAAATAGAGATTCCCCTTCCCCACTCCCCTTCACACCCTTGGGCTTCCCCAGCTAAGATTTAATTCCTTATCAGTGACCCTCAGGATCTCGTAGACCCTACTGGAGGGGCCCTTCAGAGCATCCTGGAATCTGTCTGTTTGACTCTCTGGGTCTCGAATAGACTGGCTTCCTCATTGTCTTTCCCTACCCCTACACAGAGGAAGGCTCAGATAACGTGCACGGCCATCTTCATCATTTGGGGGGTGCTGGTGCACCTGGTGATCCCACCCTTTGTGTTTATGGTGACTGAGGACTGGAACTACGTTGAAGGCCTCTACTACTCCTTCATTACCATCTCAACCATCGGCTTTGGAGACTATGTGGCTGGTGAGTAGACCCTCTCTTCCTTCTTCTCTACTCCTCTTTCCTTTCCTACAGTTCTTCCTTCGACCTCTTCTCTCTTTTTTGCTTCCTTCCCTTCCCCGTTCCCCCATTTCCCTACTCAAACTTTCTTTTATCTTCCTGTATTTTTCCTTATCCTCTTCCACCTCTCTGTCCTTTCTCTCACCCTCCCCTTCCTGTGACACCTCTCTTTCTACCACATTTCTCTCTTCCTCTCTTCCCCGATGTCTGGTTGGATAGATTCTCCACTCCCTTCTTCTCCCTCTTCCTTTCACACTTCCTTCTTCTATCTTTCCTCCTTTTCCCTCCCCTTATCTCAAGCGGCAGAATTCTAGGCCTGGCACACTGTGCCATCTAGCCGCCCAGAAGTTAAGGGTACCAGGGCCCTTTGTAAAAGGTGAACACTCAGTACTGTATATTTATGCTGCAAAAAGGAAGCTCAGGTGAATGTGCTGGTGTGTACCTCCTCCTCTTCCTAGATGAATCCAGACAGGTGATAAGGCTCCAGGCCATTTGGCTCAACAGGAAATCTCTGCAGGGCCTGCCACCCCCGTGATGTTCTTGACCCTTGTCCTGTATAAGACATGTTTTTAATCTTATCTGTTTATTGCTTGTTTTTCTGAATTGAGTCTCTATTTGTTGCTTATCTCTTTTCTTTGTGAGTGGGTGGACCTCTGAGCTTCTTGCAATGTGGGTACCTTTCCACAGGGCCATTATGTAGAACGTTAAGGAAGAAGACAAAGACAGGAGGAATGGGGAAAAGAAAAAGGGAATATTCCACACTAATCTTCCTTGTTTTAGGTGTCTAGGGTGATATAAATAGGTTAGCTGAGTCACAGCTTCTACAGAAATTCAAAGGTGTCTCATAAGGCAATTAGCCCAACCCATACCGAAATAGGAATTCCCCTCTGTAGGGTCCTAAGAAATGCTTAATATCATCCAGGCCCAGAGATCAGGGATGAGTTCTCAGAAAGAATGGAAGAAGTTTCATGGCTAGAATGGACCTCAGATTTTAAGTTTGCACCAACTTGGATTTATTTCTCTTGACTATGTATATTTGGGTGGCCAGAATTTAGCAACGTGCCTGGCACATTGTAAGTACTTAAATGTTTGTTGACTGACTGATTGTCACAGGCATTTTATTTTTGTTTTTTTGGGGAGGGAAAGAATAAATACTTGGAAAAAAAATTTTAATTAAAAAAAGTTTACCCCAATTCTCATCTCCAGGTAGCTTCTCCCTTTGATGGAGAACCACATTTTCTATACAGGGGGTTGCTTGGAAAGAACTCAGTCCCAGCCTGTGTGTGATGGGCACTCACTGGAGACAGTCTAATGGGGAGATAGGACTCTTACGCATTAAACAGCAAAGGTTTAGGATGAGAAAATCATATAAATCAAAGGTTCGAGGAACACAGGGAACCTTTGCTTAATCAACCTTATACTTGTCTCATGACAGCTTAGCAAGTTCAGATACACCTAGGAGGAAACTAAGGCAGGGAGAACTTGGGGCAGAAGGTCATCAAAGTCAGGTAGAGGCTAATTAGGAGAGGATTTTTTTTTTTTTTTAAGTCTCCAGCAGTCATATCTTGAAGGAGGTGAGGAACTTGCAAAAAGGGAAAAGCAAGAACCTGAGAAAGTTCTGGGAGGAGAAGGTTGAAAGTCTTTGTGGACGCATGTGGATGTGATAAGCTGGAAAGCCTCCAGAGGACAGTAACCAATATGGTGAACAGCCTTCTGCCATGTTAAGACTTGATTGAAGGAACTGAGCAGGGTTAGCCCAGAGAAGAGGAGACTAAAGGAAGAATGCTTGAAGGCCTTTTCTGTAGTGGAGGGGATTCCATTTATTCTGTTTGGCCCCAGAAGGCAGACTTATGCTTGGTGTCAGGGAAAACTTCCTAACAATTAAGTTCTGTATCAAAATGAAGTTTATGTCAAAGTGAAATGTGCTGCTATGAGAGGTGGCAGGTCAGGAAGACCACTTATTGGTTGTGTTAGAGAGGAGATTCTTGTTAAGGTATGGGTTGAACTAGATCTACAGTTCTCAAATTTGTTAGTCTCCAGACCCCTTTATTTATACTCCTTTAAAAAAATTACTGAGGATCCCAAAGAGCTTTTGTTTATGTCCATTGTATCTGTCAATATTTACCAGCAGTGAAAATTGATCAATTTTTAAAAAATGTATTGATTAATTTTCAAATTACAATAAGCCCATTAAATATTAACATAAATAATAATTTTAAATAAAAAAATAACTTATCTTCCAAAACAAGTATAGCAAGAAGGGTGGCATTTTTTTTTACATATTTGTTCAAATATCTGTCATATCTGGCTTTGTAGCAGATGATTGGATTGTCCTATCTCCTTCTGCATTCAATCTTTTGGGAAGTTGTTTTGGTTGAAATATATGAAGAAAATCCAGATTTCCACACATAGGTAGTTGGAAAAGGGAGGAGTATTTTAATAGGTAAAAAATGTCTAATGATTCCAACTTCATGGGTCTCCTGAGAATGTTTTGGGGACCACCAACTTCTTTACTGGATAATCGCTGGTGATCTTTCCAGTCCTAAGATCTGTGAATATATAAGACCTTTGCTCAGGTGCTCAGAACAGAGATTAACTTATCAAAAAAAGTTTTCACATTCTTGGCTTGGGTTAAGTGAAGGACAAAGGCAAGTTGTCATGGGGGTTTGGGATTATCCATAGATTTTTGCAATCCATTTTGGATTCATCCATATCATTTGACTCACCTGAAGCCTAGAATGCCCAGGCATAGCTCTTAAGATGAGAAAATCATATAAATCAAAGGTGGAAGGAACACAGGGAACCTTTGCTTAATCAGCCTCGTGCTTATCTCTTAACAGAGTGCAATGAGACCCAGAGTACAATGACTTGCTCAGGGTCACACAGGGAGGCCATGACAGGTCTTCTAACCCTCCAGTCTCATGTCCTCTCCACTTTACTACCCTCCCCTTAAGTATGTAAATTTCTTTCCTTCTCCCTTATAGATGAAAAGTGGAGGTTTTTGGTCTTTGGACCTAAAGGAGCCAGATGGTACAAAGAATGGAGCACTAAACTTGGTATCAAGAATTCGTGGGTTCAAATCCTGCCTTAGACCTTTACTAGCTTTGTGACCCTAGGCAAGTCACTTAAACTCTGCTTCAGTTTCCTCATCTGTAAAAAGGAGGAGGTTGGGCTTGCTGGTCTCCAAGGGCCCTTCCAGCACTAAGTTATAATCCAGCGATAAGGCTGATTTTTTTCTCTGACCTTTGTTTCTCTCTGTCTCGTCTCCCAGGAGTCAATCCTGAAGCCAATTACCATCCCCTCTACCGATACTTTGTAGAGCTATGGATCTACCTAGGGCTAGCCTGGCTGTCCCTGTTTGTGAATTGGAAGGTGAGCATGTTTGTAGAAGTTCACAAAGCCATCAAGAAACGTCGGCGGAGGAGGAAGGAATCCTTTGAAAGCTCCCCCCACTCCAAGAAAGGCCTGCAGATGGCATCCGGCGGAGGCGTCAAGGACGTCAACATTTTTAGCTTCTTGTCCAAGAAGGAGGAGACCTACAATGACCTTATCAAGCAGATTGGAAAGAAGGGTCTAAAGACAAGTGGGGGAGGTGGAGAGAGATCAGTGGGACCTGAGAGCAGAAGGCCTGCCCTCCCGGCTGCTCCTGTGGGTCCAATGGCAATCTATACCAAAACCCGTGTGCCTAGCTACGAGGAGATATCCCAGACACTGAAGCTGAAAGGCCATGTGTCGAGGTGTCAGGGTGGGGAGGCTGGGGAGAAACCCCCCAGCGACAACCCCAACACCACTTCAACGGTGTTTGTCAACCAGCTGGACCGGATCAGTGAGGAGGAGAGTGAAGCCTGGGATGCCAGGGACTGCCGTCCACTGATCTTTGAGAATGCCAACATCACCTTTGTGAATGAGGAAGGAGGCCTCTCAGATGAGGACACTTCCAAATCCTCTCTGGATGACAACTTGGCTGGGGAGGAAGAGGAGGAACAGGGAGAGGTGGAGGAGGCTGAGGCAGAGATGCCACTGAACCTGGGGGAGTTCCCATCCTCCGATGACTCCACTTTTACCAGCACAGAATCTGAACTGTCTGTGCCTTATGAACAGTTAATGAACGAATATAATAAAGTCAGCAGTCCCAGAGGCACGTGAGGCCCCCCTCTCTGCCCCTTGCCCTATCCCACAAATCCTGTGGCCTCTTCCTTCCCCTCACCTCTCCTTCAGGGGTATCCTGTGATGGCTGAGATTCCCTGACCCTTGAACTGGGAGAGAAAAGGGGACCCTTTATCCTCCCATCCCCTCTGGCCAGATGCCACTAAGCACCCATACTCCCCTCACTGCCTGCCCACTTCAGGACTGACTGTTTCCACATGCTCCCTTGGTGACATGGTTGAACAGATGTGATCCTGAGGTTGGGAGAGATTTGGTTCCTGAAAGATGGTTTTGGTTTTGGTTTTGTTTTTTACTACATTTGTAATTTTGATGGAGTACAAGTGATACTGGGGCTAGGCAAGGTCTGTGAATGGTCAGACCTATAAAAAAGCATAAAGTTTTGGGGTGTTGACAGGCTTTCCTGTCCTGGGAGGATCCGTGCAGAGAAGGCTCAACTGAGCAGGTATTGACTGAAATTTTAACGTGTTGCCCAGCAACAGGACTCAAGTCTAAAAGGCAGTGCACTGGAGACAGTCTGTCCTTGTCCTCAAGGTGACTTAAGGTCAATTTGGGGATTCCAAATGAACACAGATGAGACAATTAATGGGACAAGGTGATGTGTAAGTAATCGTGGGGGTGAGGTATACAAGGATGCGAGGGAAACAGACCCCACATTTGTTCTAAGCTGCTTCTTCCCGAGCTCCTCTTCAGCACCCCCATCCCAATACACTAATGCAGGGGTTCTTAACTTTTTTTGTGCATCATGGATCCCTTGGGCACTCTGGTGAAATCTATAGATCCCTTCTCAAAATAATCTTTTTAAATGCATAAAATAAAATATGTAGGATTACCGTGGAAGCCAATTATAACATTGAAATAGATGTCAAATATATTTATTTTTAAAAGTTCATGGACCCCAGGTTAAAAACCCCTTATTTTAATGAGAAAAAGGCTGTTAGGGGTTTGGAGAAGATGAAGGCCAACTGTCTAATCCAGAACCCAAACTGAAACACTCCCGGTGGTAACCAGATCCATCCCATGGGCCCCACGGCCCCTGTTGCCCATATTTAATAAAGACAGGCCAAACCAAGCCTTCCTCGGAGTGACCCTTTGTGGAGTCACTGACAGTGGGGGTGGGCTAATTAGATCTAGGGTCACCACGGTTTGCCATGTTCTGGAGAATCAGGTAGAGCAAGATAAAGGGCAGTGTGGAGAAGTGGGATGTTGGCTGAATCTGAAGCCAGCTTTTGCCATTTAGTTACTTGGTGACGTTGGGCAAATCATTTCCCTTCTAGCCTCATTTTCATCACTTGTATAAGGGGATTAAGTTTGGCATGGTCTAAGAACACTTCGAGGCCCATGATCCCAAGTGTTTTCCTTGTGGCTTTGCCTTTGTGCAGTTGTCTTAGCTCCTTTCCCCTGTCCTCTTCTCTACCACCACCACCACCACACCCCACCTCCAATTCCAGGAAGCAGTGATCAGCGGAGACACAGGTCTGTATCTTGCCCCCTAGGTCTGGCACTTAGGCCCTTCTCATGGGCTGAGTAGCAAAGGGGGGATTATGTCCCACCCCCCAAGGACTTGGACCTGTTTCAGGTAGCCCTTCCCAATTTGGGAGATCTTCTGTTGACTAGCTTGAGGTTTCTGATGGAGGAGGAGGACCTTGGATCATATCTTTAGCTCTGTGTACCCCTATATCCTTCCCTTCCCTCCCCTCTGCTACCTGAGGGAAACAAGCTAGTGAATATTTGGTTGTGGGGCCAGGAGTCAGATGGGCTAGATAGGCCAAAACTCTTGGGGTTGGGGGCGTGGAGATTCCACCTCACCCATTTCCTTAGATTAATATAAAGTCTCTAGATGACAGCATACACTCCGTGTCCCCCTTGGAACTTAATTGCCCTCAACAGAATGTTACCACTCATTTTCCCATCTTCTCCCTACTAGTGGGTCCCTGAAGTCTCTAACTTACTGAGGGTGGCTTCCTTCAGGCATTTCCCTAGAGCAAAGACTTTGATGACCCACCCCTCCCCCATACATGCCTTACCTGCATTAGATGGAGAGGTGGGTCCACTAAAGAGGAGGGAGCAATGCTGAGGCTTCCTGGCCTCCCTTCTGCCTCCCACATCTCCCAATCAGCAGTTGACATTGATCTTGGCTCCAATTTGGGAAGCAGTGAAGTGCATATTAATAGGCTTGGGACTGGTGTGCCTCCTTCAACTTACGTCTGGAATCCCCAGCTGCTGTTTTTAATTTTTTTTTTAAAGGAGAATGGGGAAACCTGTTGAGAATATAAAATTGTAAAGGAAACTATTCCCTCTTTTGTTTTGGGATTAGAGGGGGAGGGGAGGGCAGGGCTGGACACTCTCTGTGCAATGTCTCCCCGGGGCAGATATGTTCTGCTCTCTGTGGATAGTTTTTATTTTTATTTTTTTATTATTTTTAAAAGAATTTTTTTTGCAGTTAAAAATATATATATCTGGATTCTGTGGTTGGCTACTGATGGCGTCTTAAATCCAAATTCAGAAGTTAAGGGGAAGGTTTTTGTTGCCCTGAGAACCCATCTGCCAAGTGAGTAAGTCTTAAGCTATCTTGGATGGAAAGCAGTGGAGGGACCCCTCCCGAATCCCTCCTTTCCCCATGGCTCAGGGCCTCAGCTAGTATCCCGTGTTAGGAGATTGAGGGGTACATAGGAGCACTTTTATAGAGCCATCTTGGCCACCTCGGTTTCATTTTCCACCCCCTGGTTACCTTCCAGGGCTAACTTTTAGTTTTTAACTCAGTTTGAAACTGTGGTTGATCCAATTTCCCACAGGTCACCAGCAGATGCTAAGACCCAGAGGGGCTTTGATTGAATACTCTGAGAGTGTTCCCCCGGATCCATCTGTGGTGGGAGGCAGTGTCTTGTAGTGGAAAAGTGGACTTCAGAATCTGAAGGCTTGGGTTCAAATCCCTGCCCTCAATATTTAACTCCTCTGTGTGATCTTGAGCAAGTCTTTTGGACTCGGCAGCTCAATCTGATCTGTAAAAGGGGGTTACGAATAGTAGCACTACCTAACTCACAGGGTTGTTGTGAGGAATGTGATTTTTGTAAACCTGAAAGCACCATAGAAATGTGAACCATCACAGCGGGCGAATGAACCAGAAGCTCCCTGTGGAGCCTCGAATGCCACCCCCACACCCACCCTCATCTCCAAGTGTTTGAGGGGGATGGGAAGGAGTGTCCTCATCTTTTCATATGATTGATATTCATGACATTTTCTTCATTCTATGATCCCACCTTGCCTATCACTGACTGTCCTGGAATCGTACACACTGTATGTAAATATTGGCAGAGTCAACGTCAAGTGTAATTTATTTTAACATTTTTTTGCAATTAAAAAAAATGAGGTGGACAGTTAAGCCTGGTGTTTGCCAAATAGGGGGTTGGGTGGGAAGATTGGGAGATAAAGGAATGTGAATCTGTAGTCAGGGATGAGGTGATCTTTGGAGGGAGCTGAGAATTCTAGAAAACTAGGAGACCTCTTCTGGGTGCCAAGGGTAGGCAAAGTGAGGATATGGAATATGGAGGTGTTGAAGAATGGAAAGGTGTGGCATGACAAAATGTAACAAAATTGTGCACCTGCTGTGTGCCCTTCACAAGACCTGGGGTTAAGCAGGAGGGGCACACATGCATGAGTTACTAATGTAAAGTGTGAACGTGCATGAGGAGGTACAAAATCACTTTTGGGTTGGGGAAACCAGGGAAGGCTACTTGTTTGAGCTGGGTAAAAGAAATAACCTGTACAATAGGAATAGGATAGGACTGATCTGTCAGCAACCATTTAATGAGTACCTACTATGTGTGGGGTGCTTGGGATGCCAAAAAAACAACAACAACAACAACAACAATGAAAAGTCCTTGCCCTCAAAGGGCTTTCCATCAGCATCAGGATCTGGAGAATCAAGGAAGAAGGCTTCCAGCTTTCTGGAAGAGATGAGCTAAGTTGAAAAAGGTGTGTTCAGAGGAAAATTGGATTGGGTAGAGTGGAGATCAGGGAACAGTGGAGAATAAAGTTGGATAGGAAGGTGGAACCAGATAATGAAGCATCTTGGAATCCCAAATAGGGGAGTTGGGAATCGATCCCATTTTCCAAGGGAGCCCTTATTAGTTCTTCATCAAGGAAGCAAAGATCAAAGTGGTGTTTTGGCAAGATTCATGGGGTAGCACACAAGATGGATTAGAAGAAGCAGCAGCTAGATACCCAGGGACCAGCTAGGATTATATAGCATTAATTCAGGGGTGAGTCACCCCTATTTTGCAGATGAGGAAACTAAAGCGTGGGAAGTTATGACCTGCCCGTGATTGCCCGTGATCTCTGGGCAGAGATGGGAATAGAACAAGGACTCTCTGCCTCCAGTGGGATTAAATTCAGTGACATGTATAGGAAAAGCATCTACTGTGTGCCAGAGACTGTGCTAGGCAGAAGACAAGAAAACAAGCTCTGCCCTCAAGGAGCTAAAGAATGATGCCCACTCATTTGTGTTCTAGTTTAAATGGAGGACAATTACTGATGCCTGGGTGGTGCTGAGTTCTTAAGTAAGAGTGGGAACAACCAGGTTGTGGTCCTTGCCTCAAGAGAGGGAAGAACACACCTGGGTTCTCTCCACCTCTCTTTATCGTGACAGCAATTACTTCTCACCCACACTCAACCTCCTCTCTCTCTCTCCCCCCCCTTCTCTCCTGCTCTCTCTCTGCTCTCTTTCCTTCTCTTTTCTCTTCTCTCTCTCTCTCCCTTCTCTCCTGCTCTCTCTGCTCTTTTTCCTTCTCTTTTCTCTTCTGTCTCCCCTTTCTCCCTTCTCTCTTGCTCTCTACTTTTTTAAGCTGGATAAAAAAAATAACTTGTACAATAGGAATAGGATAGGACTGATCTGTTAACAACCACTTAATGAGTACCTACTATGTGTGGGGTGCTTGGGATGCCAAAAAAAACACAACAACAACAACAATGAAAAGTCCTTGCCCTCAAAGGGCTTTCCATCAGCATCAGGATCTGGAGAATCAAGGAAGAAGGCTTCCAGCTTTCTGGAAGAGATGAGCTAAGTTGAAAAAGGTGTGTTCAGAGGAAAATTGGATTGGGTAGAGTGGAGAGCAGGGAACAGTGGAGAATAAAGTTGGATAGGAAGGTGGAACCAGATAATGAAGCATTTTGGAATCCCAAATAGGGGAACTGAGAATCGATCCCATTGGCCAAGGGAGCCTAGTGTGGGTGTAGCAAACTCACAAAAGAAGCAATCACATATTAATATCCATGTCCAATTTGCTCTGCCAGCCATTTCATTACAAGGACTTGGGATGGGGGGGGGGGCAGGTTGGTAGAGGCAGGGAGTTCTGGGAGGCCTCCTGGAAGGTGAGGGAGGTAGCTACAGTGTGCCTGTAGGATGTAATCTATAGGCAGAGCCTTTGGAGTCTAAACAGTCTCTTTCCTTTCTCTTTTCTTCTCTTTTGTCTTCTCTCTTTCCTTTCTCCCTTCTCTCTTACTCTCAACTCTCTTTCCTTTCTCTCCTCTTGTCTTCTCTTCTCTCTCTGTCTCTGTCTCTATCTCTGTCTCTCACTCTCTCCTTTTTTCTCGCTAACAATAAATTTTATTAATGCCATTTGTTTTACATCAAAATCATTTCTAGATATTAACCCTCCCCTCTCCCTGCCCAGTGGCAGCAATGGATAGAGCACTGGACCAGGAATCAGGAAGACTCATCTTCCTGAGTTCAAATCTGGCCTCAGACACTTACTAGCTGTGTGACCCTGGGCAAGTCACTTTATCCTGTTTGCCTCAGTTTCCTACTCAGCTGGAGAAGGAAATGGCAAACCACTCTAGGATCTTTGCCAAGAAAACTCAAATGTGGTGGTGAAGAGTTGGACGTGAATGAAAAAATGACTCAACAATTCGCCACCCAGTGCATTCATGTTCTTTGAACCCATGGTCTCTCTGCTTGGCATATACCCCAAGGAGATCAAACATAGAAAAGCTCCATATAAACCAAAATGCTCCTAACTACACTCAGAGCAAAGAACCAGACACTGAGAACTATGGCCCAATGTGGGAGTTTGGGGATGTAATGAAAATCCGTCACCTTGAGAAATTATGAACTTGAGAATTCAGAGAAACAAAGGAAGATTTGTATGACCTGAAAGAACCAAGTAGGCAGCTAGGTGGTGCAATGGATAGAGCAGTGGGTTTAGAGTCAGGAAGATTCATCTTCATGAGTTCAAATCTGGCCTCACACACGTACTAGCTGTATGACCCTGGGCAAGCCACTTCACCCTGCTTGCCTCAGTTTCCTCATCTGTAAAATGAGCTGGAGAAGGAAATGGCAAAGCATTACAGTGTCTTTGCCAAGAAAACCCCAAATGGGGTCATGAAGAGTCAGACATGACTGTACAACAACAACAAAAAGAAGTCATCTAGTCCAACTTTCTGAACAATCAATACCATAATATAGATGGAAAGAATTTTGGAAGGAAGGCAAACAGGCAGTTTCTTTCCCTTTTCCACAAAATAAAATTGGTTAGGCCATTCACACCTGTCCTGGACACCTGCTATTTGCAGAGCAGAGGAAGGAAAAGGCACAGTCCTCACCCTTGGGGTGCTCACCATCTGGTTAACGGGTTTGGGTTTCTACCCTCAAGGAACTTCTGTGGAAGTGCACAGGGACCGGGGAAAAATGGACGAACCAGAGAGAGTCAGAGAGACAGAGACAGTCAGGGAGATAATAGAGATAGAGGGAGGCAGGGAGAGAAGGGAAAGGGAAGGGAAGGAAGAAGGAATGAAGGTAGAAGGAGCTCAAAAAGTGTGAAGGGATGAATATGGTAAATGAAGTGAAAGAGAGTTGGGGAGCTAATTAGGGAAAACTTGGAAGACTGGGAAAGACTGATTCAAGTCGGTTCTAATTATACATTCAAACCTGTCTAGTAGGCCCAAGCTGCTGACTCCACCGGGCTGGTCACAAATCAGATGAGTCATTCGCTATGCCCCACCCCCTCACCTTCTCCCAGGGGTGTCCATCCAAAGCCCAGCTTGGGAGTTCTGTGTTATGTATGGGTGTGTGGGTGTAGCAAACTCACAAAAGAAGCAATCACATATTAATATCCATGTCCAATTTGCTCTGCCAGCCATTTCATTACAAGGACTTGGGATGGGGGGGGGAGTTGATTAGGGCAGGGAGTTCTAGGAGGCCTCCTGGAAGGTGAGGGAGGTAGCTACAGTGTGCCTGTAGGATGTAATCTGTAGGCAGAGCCTTAGAAGTCTAAACAGGGTTCCCACTCAAAGAACTAAGGACAGAGTAGGATTATAAAGGAAAGATTCCAGGGAGGAAGGGGCCCAGCTGTTCCCCAGACTTACTTCTGCCTGAAATTTTCATTGCTCCTCTAATGAATGTCAGAACTGCTGGAATAGGAGTGTTTCCCTTTTGCTGTCCCTGTCACTAATCCCTGCCTGGCCTCTAGGGTTCATAAAAACTTAGATTTAAAGCTCGAAAGGACCTCCGAGGTCATCCAATCAAACCCTCTCATTTTACAGAGGAGGAAACTAAGGCAGAGTTACTTGTTAAAGGTTATACAATGAATAAGTGCCTGAGATGTTATTCAAACCCAGGTCTTCCTAATTCCATCTGGGTCTAAAATTCTCTCCATCAGACTAGACAATGGGTCAGATAAGAATTAATCAATCAACAGTCATTCATTTAGTACCTATTATGTGTCAAGGATAGAAATACAAAGGAAGAAACATTCCCTACTCTCAGAGAGATTACATTTTAATAGGAGAAACAAGTACATAAGCATATACAGTATGTGTATGTATATGTGTATATATGCACATATAAATATATATACATATGTGTTATATATATTACATATATGTGTATATACACATACACAAAGTAGTTTAGGAAAGAGGGAAGTATAAGTTGGGGGCATAAGGGAAAAGCTTCATGTAGAAAGAGGTAGATTTCTGTGTTTGGAAAAAAGAAGACCTTTTCCAAGTCAGGGGAGCAAACATCCAGAGCTGGGATTGGGAAACAGATTCTAAAGCATCCCAAAAGCCTTGATAAGCCCAATCTGTTGGACCAAAGGGTCTCTGAGGTCCCAGCTTTTGTTGTATGACTCCATGAGCTTTTGACCTTGGCTAGAAAACCCACATGGGGCAGCTAGGTGGTGCAGTGGATAGAGTGCCCAGACCTAGAGTCAGGAAAACTCTTCTTCCTGAATTCAAATCTTACAGACACTTACTAGCTGTGTGACCCTGGGCAAGTCACTTTACCCTGTTTGCCTCAGTTTCCTCATCTGTAAAATGATCTGGAGAAGGAATGGCAAACCACTCCAATATCTTTGCCAAGAAAACCCCAAATAAAGTTTTGAAGAG